CATTCCAATAGTCAGAAGTTTACTCTTCAGGATCTTCAATTAAAAGTGCAACTTATTTATATCAGAGTTGTGCTTATTGCATTTTTCTCACATGATAAGCCCAATCACAAACCCCTCGACCTGGAGTCAAAAGTGGCCCTGTTTTCCACTTTTCTCTCTTGGTGATACGAACTACCAGCCTTTAGGTTGGAGGTGGTGTCATTTCCCCTAGGTTATCACTTACTTTCAAAGGTACCCTTTTAGCATTACATCTTAAAGGAGTCTATTGAATTTTTTACTTCTAAAAGGAACCTAGCATTGTTATTTCTACTAGGAGCTCAATCTTTTTATTTTTTATTTTTTGGTGACCGTGGTGAGGGCCAGTTAATGAACAGACAGTTGTTTATAATATAGTTGATTTACGTATCCCCTACTGTACATTTCAGTCTTCTTGTTCTAATCAACTCCTGTTACCCTCTTGTCTGAATAGATCGGAAAGATTCCAATGGATGATATCAGGAAAGATCTGTTGTCTGCTGATATGTCAGAGGTAGCTATTGAAGACCTATTGCAAGTCCTGTCACTGAAGTCTTTGGCAAAGTTAGAAGGTTGGCCGTTACAACATTTACTTCACTAAGGTTTACCTATGGTCTTCTTCTATTTGTTGCTCAAGAAGTATCTCTTGGAATTTATTTCTTCACTTGTTATGTTATTATTCCCTTCATCCATACATGTCCACTAGTTAATGTAGATGATTGCGAACAAGTTAGTATGGGCCCCTTTTGACTGTTTCTCAAGTTTTTGCCAAGCTAGCTCCATTAGAAGGCTGTGATTGGTCCAAAGGGCGGGTCACATACGGATTTCTTGGTTATCAAAAAATATTTCTGTTTGGAGCAGCTTTCTTGCACATTGTGCTTTGTGACTTTGCATCTTCTTGATGCTTTCTAATATCATTTAATTACTTTACCAAAAAAAAAAGTTAGTTTGACCTTGTATATTACCTGAATTGTACCGTAGAAGATATTAAATTAGCTGTTGGAGGGTGCATAATATTTCCGGATGGGTAAAAAATCAGTAGCAGCTTATGTTGGCATTTCCTATCAAAAATAAATTCTTCAGACTTGAAATTTTTATATTGTTAGATTATTAAATATTTTTTACCATGTGCGCCCAAAGGGTAGTGGCGGCAGGTTTCCCTTGTCATAAAAAAAAAAATAAAAAAAATTCAAAAGATAATTGGAGTTGAAAGCGTTATGCATTGTCCAAAATACCCCTTTGTATGTACCATAATTTATTCAGTTTGGAAGTTTTATATCATGTAAAAAAGGTTTTATTTCATGGAAGTTTCCTCTTTGCTAGAACCTGTTAAGCACCCAGGAAGTGGATCCATGAATGTTGTATGAATTGCACCAGAGCTTTGTCTAGTCTAGCTGTAGATTGTTAACGAGAATATGAAGTGGTAGAACTTCTAAGATATCCTCTTCTTGAACTTATGTGAATTTTCCAGATGAATATTGTATTTCTACCTGCATTCGAAACGGAACAGTTGAAATCCTCTACTGATGTATAAGTAAATATTATAGCTTAGAGGTTTCTGATCTTGGTTTTTATACCTTTTTGTTTGTGCAGAGAAACTTGGGGCCTCAGGAGAAGCACTATCTGATTTGAAGCAACTATTTTCACTTGCTGAGAAGTATGGCTATTCAGAGTGGCTTCAGTTTGATGCATCAATTGTCCGTGGTTTGGCCTATTACACTGGGATTGTGTTTGAGGTTAGACTCGAGATTATTTTTGATAGTATTCTGAACTTTGTGCAAGAAGACTTGGAATTGGTTAACTGCTTGTTGGATTTGTCTTACTGATAAACTGTTTGCTCGTAAATGGGTATCTCTTCCACTTCATTGAGTAATTACAGTTTCCTGCAGGGATTTGACCGTGAAGGAAAGCTCCGGGCTATCTGTGGTGGTGGACGGTATGATCGGCTATTATCTACCTTTGGAGGCGATGATCTTCCAGCTTGTGGATTTGGATTTGGTGATGCTGTGATAGTAGAAGTGAGTAGAACTTCCTGTTTCCAGTCCTTTTTTTCCTTTTACTGGATGTTAGAGATAAAAAAATCGTTTTTTTTCCGATTGATGATCTGTGAAGTATGAAATACTTCTACTTTGAACTTAGGTGGAAGTTCACATTAATTTTATGGACATTGTTGAGATGGACTTCTTTTGCCTGTTTTGCTTCACTACTATTCTCAGTTTTCCATCCAATTCAAGCTTTTGGTTCTTGTGAAATTTATTAAATCTTTGAACATCACAGATTCTGTTTTCTCCATGCCTGTATCGGTGACCTGCATATAGCAACACTTGTAGGCATAGGGCATGAAATAGATCCCCTTGTGCACACAAACATGCAGCAAATGACAATCACCACTACCTTATCTTTTTTTTTTTCTTTTTTGAGAAGGTAACGATTTGTATTATAAACCAATACTTATGTAGTACTGAAAGCCCCTTTACAAAAACGTATGAAAATCTAGGAACAAAAATAGCAAGCCTAGCATGATTCTAATACTTCTAGGATTGCTTCTGACAAACACCACTACCTTATCTGAAATTCCGTGATTGCACTAAGGGCTCCAACCAAGGCAGTCTTCTCAACTTTGCTTGTTTCCCTGAGATCTATGACCTTTTATTTCACAGAATAGTTGCTTTCAGTAAGATGAGTTTCTCCTGGGATAAGTCTTGCTGATAAAGATGGAGTATCGAGTATGTGAGCAGATTTGATGTTGAAAGGTGTCAGCAAAGGGAACAAGTTTTCTTTACATAAGATTTAGAAACTGTCTGTGAGCTCATGGTAGATTTGCACTATGAATCACTAGAGTACAAGATAAAGGAGAACACCTAAAGATCTTTGAGCTTGTCATTTTTGAGATTTTATTTTGATCCTTTTTACTTCCAGGATAAAAGGGGAAGGAGTGGGGTGGGGTGGGGGGTGGCGGGTTGTTGCTAGCTGCCACTAGTCGTAGTCGGTATTTTGTTTACTTTAGAACTCTTCTTTTTCTTCTATGAGGAAGCTTCCTCCTTCCATTTTGATATCTGTGAAATGCTGCAGTAATATTTTATAGCTCTATTGCATAATTTCAATTTGAAAACCACCATTGGTTGCAGGGACATACCCTTTCTAGCCTTTTTGTGTCATCTGTATGTTTTCTGCTAGAAGATTAGGTCTAACCGGTATTTGTTTATGCTTTGTCTGTTGGGGAATACTCAGCTACTCAAGGAGAGGGGACTCCTACCAGAACTTAACCTCCAAGTAGAGAACATTGTCTGCTCACTGGATCAGGAACTTCAAGGTGCGGCATCTGCAGTTGCCACCATTCTCAGGGAAAAAGGGCAAAGCGTTGATCTGGTTTTGGAGAACAAGCCACTTAAGTGGTACATTACGATCTATATAGATTCACTATTCTTTGTTGATGTAGCTCCCTGCAGCTTCATTATGTATTTGCTGTTTCACTTTGAAACTCGTACTTCCAATTTTCCATTGCTGTTTCACTTTGAAACTCATACTTCCAATTTTCCATTACTTGTTGTGAAGGGTGTTCAAGCGAGCAGCACGGATAAATGCACACAGATTGATTTTGGTTGGAAAGGCTGAATGGCAAAAAGGCATGGTCAATGTTAAGACTCTTTCAACAGGTGAGCAATTGGAGATAAAACTCGATGAACTGGAGTAACGGAACAGTGTCTTGGTGTATGCAATAGCTTTTTTGCCATTCTTTTTATAATAATTCTAAGTTGTTTATTTAGCTGGGTATTTTTTAGTGATGGCAAAGCAATGAGGTATTAAATTTTGCTGTTATATTTTTCTTATGTTGGTGAAAGAAAACCCATTTATCCAATTTCAGGCTTGAAATCTTATTGCCTGTGTAATATCAATTAAAATAACTAAGGCCTCAATATAAAACTAACTGGTTTCAATATGTAAATCCTCTGTATTCTTTTGACTCTTCTTAGGATACATCTCATTCCAAAATCTGTGTAATTTAAGGCAAGTTGGAGATTTTCTGAATTAGAAGTTATATACATAGTACACTTAAACATACATAAACATTTAAGTTTCTAGCCACAATAATAAATTAATTGCCATTAGAACAGGGAGAAGGCCTAAAAAACTAGGGGCAAAATTGAGGAACTACCAAAGTAAAGTAGGATGCAAAACAATGTTTTATAGTAGAAGACTACAAGTATATACACAGATATTTGTACTAAGCTTTGCATTAACTAAATTAACATTTTAATGTGGATTTCACATTTTCACTCCATGCATCTCCCTAAACATGTAGTTTCCGGTTGATTTATCTATTATTTCCTACCTACATTGGTATTTTTAAATGTCCAATTGTGATCATAAACCTTTGTTAATTTGATTAAAAAATATGCACTCTTTGTAAGAAGGGAACATAGGTGGAAACTCTAATTATACCATTTTGGTACTCTTTAATTCATACTTGGTCGCTTGGTTCATGGAATAAGGTGAGATATCTAAATTTAATCCAAACTTAATTCTAGATATCCCACCTTATTTCATTTCCCACCTCCTAATGTGATAAATTAGTTCAAGAATTATAATCCCAAAATAACTTAATCTGCAAATTAAATGACCCTGTATTGTATTAGAAATACAAAATTCCTCAACGAAATGACTTTTTTTTACTACTAAACATAGAACGAATACAATGCAATTCACACATCTGGTGGCGATTCTTGAACTAATTTATCTCATTTGCCCGATGTTGATTGGATTCTTAAACTAATTTATCTCACCTGCCCGATATTGATTGAAATTTTTTACTAATACGAGCATTTCAAGTTATGCAATATATATATTTTAGCTTCATCAAATTTTATAATACAGATTTACTTTTTAAACAACATTTTTGAAATGAAATTTATAACTCACATTTTCAAAAATACAACTCATAAATTGCATTTTTTTTTTGTTTGTTTGTCCAAACAACTAAAATCCCAAGCAATCCACAGTCATGGCGTCTTTCTAAAAAAACCTCAACAACTACACTCACAGCTGCAAAGCAACAAATTGATGTAATGGCCAGTCCTTCTCTTCTCGATTCTCTCTTCCAACGATCTTTAGAAGACTTAATCAAAGGTCTCCGTCTCTTCGTCGGCGATGAATCATCCTTCATCTCCAAAGCCGTCGACGAGATCCGCCGTGAAATCAAGTCCACCGATCAACAGACCAAAGCCACTGCTCTTCAGAAACTCACTTACTTGCATTCCATCCATGGCGTCGACATGTCTTGGGCTGCTTTTCATGCTATAGAACTCTCTTCCTCACAGTCTTTCAATTTCAAACGCATTGCTTATCTCGCCGCTTCGCTTTCATTCGATCCTTCAACTACTGACGTCATCCTCCTGCTGACTCATCAGCTTCGTAAGGACCTTCAATCTCCTAATTCGCACGAAGTAAGCCTCGCTCTTCATGCTTTGTATTTCATTTCTACACCTGATTTAGCCCGAGATTTAACTCCCGAGGTATTTACTTTACTTAATAGTAACAAGGGTTCTACTAGGAAGAAAGCAATTGCTATTATTTTGAGACTGTTTGAGTTATATCCAGATGCGGTTAGGGTTTGTTTTAAGAGATTAGTGGAAAATCTGGAGAATTCTGATCCGGCAATTGTATCTGCTGTTGTGGGTGTTTTTTGTGAGCTTGCTTGTAAAGAACCTAAATCTTATCTCCCTTTAGCGCCTGAGTTTTATAAGATATTGGCGGATTCTAGGAATAATTGGCTATTGATTAAAGTTTTAAAGATTTTTGTGAAGTTGGCTCCATTGGAGCCGAGGTTGGGGAAAAAGCTGGTGGAGCCAATTTGTGACCATTTGAAGAAAACGGGTGCGAAGTCATTGGCTTTTGAGTGTGTGAGGACTATTGTTAGTAGTTTCAGTGAGTATGATTCTGCTGTGAGGCTTGCTGTTGAGAAGATTAAGGAGTTCTTGAATGAAGATGATCCAAATCTCAAGTATCTTGGTTTGCAAGCACTTACCATTGTTGCACCAAAGCATTTGTGGGCAGTCATGGAGAATAAGGATTTTGTGATTAAATCGTTAAGTGATGCGGATGCAAATATTAAACTTGAGGCCTTGCAACTTGTTTTATCCATGGTTTATGAGGATAATGTGGTGGATATTTGCAAGGTTTTGATTAATTATGCTCTTAAGTCAGACCCAGAGTTCTGTAATGAGATTCTGGGATGCATCTTGTTGACATGTTCAAGAAATGTGTATGAGATAATTGTGGATTTTGATTGGTATGTATCACTTCTTGGGGAAATGTCGAGAATTCCGCACTGTCAGAAGGGGGAGGAAATAGAGAATCAGCTTGTGGATATAGGTATGAGAGTCAAAGATGCAAGACCAGAACTTGTTCGAGTTGGCCGTGATTTGCTTATTGATCCTGCATTGCTTGGCAATCCTTTCGTACACAGGATTTTATCAGCAGCTGCTTGGGTGTCAGGGGAGTATGTTCGATTTTCAAAAAATCCATCAGAAATTGTGGAAGCACTGCTGCAACCAAGAACCAGTTTATTGCCATCATCAATAAAAGCTGTATATATCCAGTCTGCATTCAAAGTACTTACCTTTTATCTGCATTACTCTATTTCTACCAAGGGAGTTATTTCTTCAGCTTCTCAAGGAGTGGCAGATCTGATGCATGGAAGAGTACAGGAGAATTCTCAGTTTGTAAGAACTGGACCAGTTGCTGATAGTGACACAGATGATGGGGGGTTGAATCCCAGGATGTTACATCGATCTGTTAGGGATGTTTCAGTAGAGAGTTTTGAGGATATGTCTGTTGCTCATGAGTGGTTGTCCTCGACTTCCTCAAAGGCAGAGCCAATCACTGAAGAGTCTATACTTAACATATTAGATCTCGTAGAAATAACGTTGGGGCCACTAGCAGGAAGCCATGAGGTGGAGATACTGGAGAGGTCAAGAAATGTCCTTGGTTTGGTTGAACTGATAAGAGAAGAATTACCTGGTTTCTTGGTGAAAAGGGAAGAAGACAATGACAAGGGACAAAAGAAGACTCATGAAATGATCAAACTAATTGCTGAAGCTTTTTCAGAAGAGCTTGGTCCAGTTTCAGCAAGTTCTCAGGAAAGGGTGCCTATTCCTGAAGGAATGGTGCTTAATCAAAGTCTGGATGATCTGGATGCGATATGTGGGGACCTTGGGTTGCATATACCCACTTCTTTCTCCCTTGGAAAATCAATTTCCTCCGAGAAGGATGACGTTACCATGTCGGATTGGCAAAGTAAGGAAGAATTTGAATCAACTGAATCGACGTCTCTTCTTGCTGAGCATCGCAAACGTCACGGGCTATATTATTTACAGTCACAGAAAAAGGAGATGGTATATGATGATTACCCACCTGCTAATGACCTTAAGACTGGAGATAATGCTGATGATGAGGCTGATGATCTGATTAAGCTGACAGAACAATCTCTCTTCTCTAAGAAAAAGGTAAACCAAGCAAAGCCTAGGCCTGTAGTAGTGAAACTGGATGATGGGGATGGACCTTTTATCCCTGCCAAAAAGGTAGAGTCAAAAGATGACCTAATCTCTGGTGCTGTGAGAGATGTTCTTTTAGGTGATGAAGCAACAACATCATCATCACGAACTAGGAAGTCTGACAAGTCATCAAGTAAGAGAAGACAGAAGGACAAGTTAGATATAGACAAGTCTTCTGGACCAAAAGAAGATTATAAAATGATGGAGAATTCTGAACAAGACAATGCAAATTTGAGAAGAAGCAAACGCCATTCTCGTGGTAAAGAGAAGAAACATAGAAGTACTGCAAAAGATAGAGATGAACATGAAGAGGAAGATAAGCAGAAGGTTAGCCATCACCACGGCAAGCATAAATCCAGACAAAGGGCAGACGGGGCTCTAACATTAGCAGCACAATCACCTGTTATTCCTGATTTTCTTTTGTAGCAATGATAAAATTTGTTCAATATGCCTTAGGTGAGTTCTTCTGTACATTACACTTTTTTTTTTTACTGTTTTGGTTACTCATTATACTTGCAATTGGTGAAGTGGTTTTTCTCCAGCCTTTTATTTTCCCCGTGTGAAATTTCTTTTGGGAAGGGTATATTTTTGAGTTCTCAACACTTGTACTAGGAAACCTTTATAAGGCCTTGACCGGTTATGATCCTTTGCTTCTATTTGTTTTTCTATTCATCTCTCATCTATGTGTGCATGCTCAGTCACATTCTTTGCTAGTTTGATGAAAGGTAAAAAGATAGGCACCAAGACCTTTTCCAAAATCAAAATTAAATGTGCTTATAGTCGCTGTATAAATGCCCCAAGAAAAAATGATATAGTGGCTGATAAGAATATAAGAGGGCTAATCCATAGTCTATGGAAAAAGCTAAACGATTCGTAATCTCCTATAGTTGGTGGATAAGATATGATGCTTGTGAATTTTTCATCATGAGGCCAATACATGCTTGGTGAGAGTTCATAATAACTCAGAAAAAAAGTGAATATGGACATGTTAGATTATGATAATCAGAAAAATATGCACAGGTTGAAAGATTTAGGCGAAATACGCTTTTGACATCGTGCCTAAGAACGAGCTGCTTGTAGGATTGCTGTACATTGGTGTTATAACTGAAAAAACCAGTTCCTTCATCAAATGCCAATCCAAAGAAAAACTCATTTATATTCCATTTGATTAAGAAAATCCATCACTAGTGAGGCTTGCTTCGTGGTAGAGAACCTCCACCGCCAGGCGCCAACAGGTAGATTCTGCTCATGTGAAGTGTAAGTGCGATCCTTGTGGAATGAGGGTAGGTGTATAAAACAAGAGAGGAACCAGCACACAAGCAGTCCCTTCTAAATAACTGAAACAATTATTTGTTGTCCCTTTTTTTATTATCAGGAAGGTGATTGGTCTCTTGCATTCTAACCTTCTAAACAATTATGGATTTTGTACTGCCATAACTGACACATTACTGAAATTGTATGGCTGTCAATATTGGGCTTCCACCTCAGTTTGGATTTTCGGCTGTGCAACAGCTGTGAAGTGGTTGAGCATATTGAGGGAGGTTATACTGACTTAGTTCTTTGCTGTTTACTTGTATTCTGATGTCATGAGAAACATCTTCCGTTGTTTTCTATCCATGAGTGTGAATCTATTGTTACTGCAGACAGATGTCTTCCTTAACCAAAAAAGAAAAAAATTACAGATGCAGCAGCAGATGTCTGAAAGAAAAAAAGGAAATATCTTAGTGTAGAAAGAATCACCTTACAGAATTTGTGAAAGCAGAGAACCCCCCCCCCCCCCCCCCCCCCCCAATATTGCTTGCCTAGTATATGTTCTCTTCTGTTATTCTTATCAAAAAATTGTTTCTGTTATTCGTTTCAACTGTCATAAGAGACTGGGTTGAGGAGAAGTGATCTGAGAATACTCGATTGAAAGACTGTCTGCATGATCAGCAGATCTAAGCAAAGAGCTTGATATACATGAGAGGTATACAGTGGACGAAACTTTCATTGTTGTTACTGCTTTCATTTCTGTATTCTCTTTTTTCAAACTGTCTTTGGATGCTTTACTTGAGCCGAGGGTCTATCGGAAACATCTTCTTTATCTTACGAGGTAGGGGTAAGGTCTACAATGTGTATGTGATTGCTCTGTCTTGTTGCTGCACTATTTGCTTGGAAGAAAAACAACGAAGTGAGAAATCAAATAGTACCACTTTAGATACGTCAAGAGGAAAAGGAGGGAACCATAAGAAATAGGCACCCAAATCATAAAATCATGGCTGATGTTTGACCATACATTCATTTTAGGAAATCATAAAATATTTATTGATAATAACACACATCAAATTAAGGTAAAACGTGTATTTCTTATATCTACCTTACCGTTACGGAATTACCTTTCACTTTTTTCAACATTCATCCCAATTCCCAAAGAATAAGTTCTGTTATAATGGAAACTAATGTATCTCTTTGATTTTCTCGAATCCTTGTCAACTAAAAGACCAGAAGGGCTTTAGTAGAGGTAAATCTAGAATTTCAGATGACGAGTTCAATCTTTAAATTATTAAAAATTATGGGTTCATGTAATTTATTAAAGTCATTCTCGAAAATAACTTGTGAAATGTTATGTTACTATATTACAAACTCATGTCCCACGGAAAAGTTATTCGTTACGAAGGTAAAAAAAAAAACCCAAAATAGAAATGAGAGACAGGTACGTGGAGTTGCCAATGCCTAAGGTTGTCTTCCGGAAGTCATGGGAATATTTTGGATTAGTTGGGATCCACTTGGCATAACACAAATTCTTCTTCTTCCTCCATCTTTCTTCTAAAAAAAAAAAAACACAAAAAAAACTTGTAAATTATAGCTGTAAAAACTAATCATTTTTTTCTTAAATGTGTTGAATAAATAAATATTCCCTCAACATGTCTCAACATCAACTCCAAGAATATTCTCTCTCTGGTAATTTTCACAATTACTCAATTCCTTCTTCCTCTTTCACATTTTTTCAACAATGATTAGATCATCACGTTTCCTCTTCTATCTTTTTCTACATTATAATAGTTCATGTAATTAATATTAATCCAGATTAGTAAAATTCTTTTCTATAAGAACCTCTCTTTTACAAATAATTGTATTTGATATTAACGCGTTCAGATTACTGTAGTACGAAAAAGATAAATAGGAGAGGTAAATCAAAGTAAATAGTAAATACAATTTTTTTTACATATTATTGAAATCCTTACATGAATGTCTTGGAGATATAAAACAAATTAGTTAAAATAATAATTAATTAGAATATGTCTTGTGTCTAATTCTAGTGAAAAAGCATGTAGTTAATTTTTTTGCTTCCATCTCAATTATATATATTTCCTCCTCTTCTTCCTCCTCCTCATTTGCTTTGCTCCATTTTAGTATTTTTTTCGAATTCTTTTCTTTCGAGTTAGGGTCTATCTTGTTAATTATGTCTTGAATTTGTTTATCTTTTATATATTTTTAGAAAACTCATAATTTCTATTGATTTAGAAAATCTATTGTCCTAATAAATTTTGAAAAGAAAAAATCTCTCTTATAAGTTTGGAGACTAACTATTCGAAATCTATATATAAGAGTTGTAGTTGTCCATTTATTCAACCTTGTGTTATTTCTTCTCTCTTCGCTTTGTGTGTGATTGTGTGCTGGATAACCCAACCCACAATTTTCCGCAACATATGAGAAACAATCTCTCTATCCTACAAAGGTAAAAAGCAAGGTTTGCGATTTTGCGTATATCTTATCTTCCTCAGACTCCACTCGTGGGATTGCAGTGTTGTTGTAGTAGTATTTTTTTCCATAGAGTTTCAAGAAAATGAAGAATGAACAACAATATCAATTCACTACTACAAAACTATTCAGTATTTCTCAAAGGTACCTCCATAATCTTGTGTCCTATTTTATTTTATTTGGGTCTGGTTTAGTAATTGGTATAACACTATTTTTTTATCTCCAAGATCTAATTCCCAACACTTTACAAAACAAATTATTTTCCCCCCAAATAATCCAATTAACCTCACCTCCACCTCCACCCCCACCCCATACACCAATACCCCCACCACCCCCACCATCACTTCCACAACCTCAACAACAAATTCCTCTTGTTTTAAATAATGAGAACAAAATTTTAGACCCTAGTAGAATAGGGTTAAAAGATTTTATGAAGACACCAAAATTAAGTACTCCTAAACATGATATGAAAGATGAAGAGTTGATATCGAGGGCTATGATGGTGCCACGTGTTAGTGATTTGCCATTTAAGAGAAAGCCAAAGATTGCTTTTATGTTTCTTGCAAGAGGAAGTTTACCATTGGCTCCATTATGGGAAAGATTTTTCCAAGGACATGAAGGTCTTTATTCTATTTATATTCATTCTCAGCCATCTTTTAATGGAACTGCTCCACAAGAAGGACCTATTTTTCATGGCAGAAGAGTAGCAAGTAAGGTAAGTTTAATTTACTATCACTATTGATTAATTAATTATAATTTGCTTTTGATATTGTCTGCTTCGAATCTAGGTTGTTACGATACATTATTAGGGTATAAGGTTTGTTTATTGGTACAGATATCATTTTTACGGATATGGGAATTACCGTGCACTCTCTTTAAGTACTCAAACGTCTTCATTTGCCTAAACTCAATAATTAAACATTGAATTTAGGCAAGTACTACAAGTATTTTGATAATTGTAGTGTTTAAGCCAAATAATAACTTTGAACTTTGTCTGTATAGCTTAAATCTTTATCGTAAATGTTTTGTTTGTTTTCATCTCACATAGAGATCTGCAAGTTAATTTTTAAAGTATTTACGCACAAACCTAGTATAGTGAAAAAATAAATAATATGAAAGTACGCTGAGGAGAAGAAAGACTCAACTGGTGCCGTATCAAATGGTCCGTGTTTTACTAGACAGCTCGGAAACTGAGCAGGGGCGGATGTACGCGTTAAATTGAATTCATAGAATTTAAATTCTGAACCTGTCAAATATAAAATTTTATATTATTAACGATGCAATATTATAAATAGTAATAATACTAGCAGATTTTGATGGATATAGATCACCATATATTAGTTGACTTAGACCATTTATATGTCTTGGTGTTTTATAAACGCGTCTTTTGGCATTAATTACCGAGAATCCTGGTACTCTTTGGCTATAATATTGTAAGATTGGACTATTTTACGACACTTGTGTGTTTGTGTAATTAATGCCAATTATGATGCTTATGGAGAGACCTGTGTGATGTACCAAATATGGTGCTTGTTTGATAAATTTAATTTAAAAATAAAGTTGGGTCTATATTATTAATAATGGATCCAGAGTGTTATCTATGATTCACGGGAAACTAATAATTTTTGCTCTTATATTATTAGTGTATTTAAAACCTTTTTAAGTATATCTATAAATGTTTTAAATCCTAAATTCACATCTACTTATTATCAACTATATAACTTTTGGCATAATGATAAATGTTTGATCCTAACGATTGAAAATGAAAGTTTTTTAGGGGAAGAAACTAGTGAGTAAGTTGTCAAGACAAGCACTTTTTGTTGTAGATTTCTTTTATTCTACTCCTTTTACCAACTTAGAGAAAAAAACACTTTTTCCTTCTACTATATGTTGCTACATTTTATCAAATTCCTTTCTTCTATGCCTTGGCATCTTTATCTTTTGCACGTGAACACTAGAAGGGCATGTTGGACTCCACAAACAGTTTAGAATCTTTTTACACAAATAGTCGGTCAAATTTACAGTTTACTTTTTATAGTTAGTATACATGTAATTAAAGCAGTCGAGTGAACAACTATTTAGGTTAATTCTTCAACTTCCTTACTTTATGTTTGAAGCAGAGCCCATATTGGATTAGGCCCAATTAATCACTATAGAAGGATAAGTATCTGGGCTTTTAGGAAAGTATTTTGAGTCCATTAAAATTTTACTTTTGCAAAAATCCTTTTTTTCCCACCTAATTAGTTGGAAGATCTAATAGTTTAGTAAATCATAAACTTAACATTTTAACGTGTTTTAAAATATTTTTTTTTGCAGAAAGTAGAATGGGGACAATTTAACATGGTGGAAGCAGAACAACGATTACTAGCGAACGCATTATTAGACCTATCGAACGAGCGTTTCGTGCTTCTTTCAGAGTCATGCATTCCTCTCTACAACTTCACAACCATCTACAACTACATCATCAACTCCACAAACACCTTCATGGAGTCTTACGACTTAATAAGCCCCGTGGGACGAGGTCGTTACAGCAAGAAAATGAAACCATTGGTCACCCTAGCCCAATGGCGAAAAGGGTCCCAATGGTTCGAGGTCGATCGAGAGATAGCCATGGACATAATATCAGATCAAAAATATTCTCATTTATTCAAGAGATTTTGTAGGCCAGCATGTTACTCAGATGAACATTATTTGCCAACATTTGTGACAATGAAATATTGGTGGAAAAATGAAAATAGAACATTGACTTGGGTTGATTGGGCCAAAGGTGGGCCTCATCCAACAAGATTTATTAGGCCTGAAGTGACAGAAGATTTGCTTAATGGGATGAGAAATGGGACCAAATGTGAGTATAATGGGCGGCCCAGTAACATGTGTTACTTGTTTGCTAGGAAGTTTTTGCCAAGCACTTTAGATAGGCTTTTGAGATTTGCTCCTAAAATCATGAAATTTGGATAAATTAATATTTGTATTTTTTAAAGTATTGAATATTTTTGTTAATTATTTCTTGTTCTTGATTTGGGTTCAATGGGACTGATAATACATCATTCATTTCTATTTATTTGCATGTGATGCAACTCAATCGGTTATTTGATAAGATAGTTGATTTCTCGAATGATTCCTGAACTAATTATTGTTACTCTCTCCGTTTCATTTTATGTGGCACCATTTGATTTGACACAGTATTTAATAAAAAAAGGAAACTTTTGAAACTTATGGTTTAAAACAGTTCTTAGATATTTGGCATGGTTGAAAATCATTTCATTAAGGGTTAAAGGGGTATTCCAAAGTTAAATTATTTTTAATTATAGTAAGATGACATTATTTTTGGGACAGATTAAAAAAGGAAAGCGTGCTATATAAAATGGGACGGAAGGAGTATTATTTTAGAAATTTACTTCTTTTTTTTACTGAAGAAAATTGAAATCAAAGGGAAAAAATGATTTTTTACGAGATTAGTAACGGTTAATTGAGTGATAATCAACGCTTCGGATGTGATGAAAATTGCAGACTTTATTAGTTAAAGTATTAAGTGTACTTCTCCCCAAAAGAATAAAGGAATAAGAGGGTTTTTTTCTCTTTTGAAAATTTCCAAGTCTTTGTTTGGTAGCTTCTTTGTAATTGTTCAACAGACTAGACCTGTCCTAAACTAAATTAAGACCACACACAAAATCTTTTTTGGTGTGTGTATGATATACTCTATGAATTATGTCGTTTTGAATATGGTACGTGATTATTATAAACAAATACTCTTATATATCGTTAGTAGTAAAATATGAGAATATATTTGAAATAAAAAAACTTACTACAATGAGTTTCATTCGAATTTTGTTGACTACAAAAATTATAATGCATATTATATATGGTGTTAAAATTACTTTTAAAGTATATATAATAATGATGAATCTCTAATTTGATTTCTTTAGATTCTTATTTGATCTTATTATCTCCAAAAATAAATTTGTTTTGCCTCCGCTGCTCACTTACTAAATATACATTCTTTAAATAATTTTTCAGCAACTCTAGATATGATTCCTGATATTCTAGATAGATACAAATAGGTGGAAAAAATTCATAAAATCTTTTGTTAGCACTTGTTGTTTTCTTGTAAACTTGGACGAAACTGAGTATAAGTCTGCATTAATTAAAAATACGATTTGTGTTATACTCGTCGATTGGATTGAATTTGAAAAGTGTGTCCTGTGGACAATGAAATGACAAGGACCAAGTGACTTGGACACACAACGACCAACTAATTAATGATATTATGCATTAATATATTTCTATCTATCTATTATATTATATATTATATTTTTATTATATAGAAGAGTGAAGCCAACCAAGACGACCAAGGGTATTTTGGTAATTTTACCACTAGGAATCAGCTTGTACCTCTACCTACATGGCAACCTATCATCCACAAATTATTATTCTACTATTATTATTATATTATTATTATTACTTTTCTACTTATATATAAGAGAGAGTTTATGATGGGACATTCCCTATATAATACATAATATAATAATATAATATAATAAATCATTTTTTTTACTATATAATATATATAATATATATTTATTTTCTAAGGGAGTTTATATAATATATAATATAATATAATATATACATAAACTCCCTTTTATTATATATTCTACTTATATATATAATATAATATAATAAATCATTTACAAATGACTTAAAATATTTAATATTTAAAATTCTACCATAAAATAGGTTGACTCTCAAAATTCTATCCGGGTCACATAAATTAGCAAGTTATTTGAAAGTTACATAAAAATATTATAAATCACAATAATTAATAACTTAAAAAAAAAGTGCAAATTTGGATGACTCTTCAAATTTCATTTGTGTCACATAAATTGAGACAACAAAAATAGCATATATTGCGTCCATTTTAATTTATTTGTCTTAATTTTTTTTTATATTTACAAATTGCGTAAAAATACTATAAATCATGATAATTGACAACATAAAATATGTTTTGATACAAAAAATTGCATTGATTCTTCAAGTTAATCTATCGTAAAAATACTATAAATCATGATAATTGACAACATAAAATATTTCAGAAAAATATACATATAAAAAATTTCGATTGATTCTTGAAATTAATCTATCGTTAAAATTTATGTATAAAATACAATAAATCGTGATAATTGACAACTTAAAATATTTATTAAAAATGCACAAAAAAAAAGAAATTGACTGATTCTTAAAATTAATCTATCAATGTCACATAAAATGAGACAAAAGTAGTAATATGTATTATTTAATGTCAAATTACTGAAAACTAAGTAAAATGTATTGTAAATCTTAACAATTAACAACATTTGATTAACTCTTGAAATTCTATCTATGCTACATACATGGAGACAAGTGGAGTAATATATATTAAGTATTTACAAATTACGTAAAAATATTATAAATTACATTATTAACAACTTAAAATATTTAAAAATCATATTAAATTTAAATAACTCACTATATTTTATCTGTGTCACATACATTAGGACAAAAAATAATAGTTATTGGGCCCGTGCGTAAAAGAGTTTATGCCCAAGTATAATATATAATATTCAATGACTCTCCAAATTTCATTTGTGTCACATAAATTGAGACAACAAAAATAACATATATTGGGTCCATTTTAATTTATTTGTCTTATTTTTTAAAATTTTTTATATTTAAAAATTGCGTAAAAATACTATAAATCATGATAATTGACAACATAAAATATGTTTTGAAAAAGATACAAAAAATACCATTGATTCTTGAAGTTAATCTATCGTAAAAATACTATAAATCATGATAATTGACAACATAAAATATTTCAAAAATAAATACATTTAAAAAAATTCGATTGATTCTTGAAATTAATCTATCGTTAAAAATTATGTATAAAATACAATAAATCGTGATAATTGACAACTTAAAATATTTATTAAAAAAACAAAAAAAAATTGATTGATTCTTAAAATTAAATCGTGATAATTGACAACATAAAATTGTTCAAAAATGTTGTATGTGGGTAGTCTTATTGTGCCTTGAATAACGTCAAAGAAAGTACAGGTTTGTGATAAAAAAAATTATTCCTTTATCCACGCAAAAAATCGCTTCAAAAATTTCGTTATTAGCCCCAAAACATACCATTTATGTTATTGGGCCCGTGCATAGCACGGGCAACAAAATCTAGTATTATATAGAAGAGTGAAATGGTAGGACGACCAAGGGTAAAAATGTAATTTCATTCTAACAAAAATCTATTAATAAAGATAGTAAATAATTCTAGAAACATCTTTTTATATATTAAGTGAATTATGATCAAGGATAAAAATGTAATTTCACGCTAACAAAAATCTACCAAGATTGATATCAAGAAAATTAAATAGTTCTAGAAACATCTTTTGTTATTGTTATTACTTCACTTTCTTTTCTTTTGTGAGTTATTGTACTATCTATTCATTACTCTATTTTACTATTACGTTAATTTAATGCTTAATATTTTTTTCTATTCATTATGCTTATCAAAAATGCCTACTTTAATATAAAAATTCATTATGAATTAATTATTTTCACCTTTATTTTGGCTCTAATTAATATACTTGAAAAGAAATAAGTGTGATAAAAATTAATAATATGTAGGACGACCAAGGGTAAAAATATAATTTCATTCTAACAAAAATCTATTAAGAAAGATAGTAAATAACTCTAGAAACATCTTTTTATATATTAAGTGAATTATGTTATGATCAAGGGTAAAAATGTAATTTTACGCTAACAAAAATCTACCAAGAATGATATCAAGAAAATTAAATAGTTCTAAATATTACACACTTCAGTATAAATCTCTTATTATGAAGACTAATAACACAATTTTTTCAACATTAAGAACTTCATTTTTCATCTATTCCCTAATGGCCCTACTTTTGTAAAACAATTATAAGACAAAAGTAAAATTCATTATTTCTTAGTGAACACATCACTTCTGGAACTTTTCCATATAACAAATTTTCAACAAAATTCAATTGATCCACATTTTTCAAACATTCTAATGAATATGATAATGAACCAGTTAATATGTTAAATCCAATATCAATCACAATTGCAATTCTCAAAAGGCGTAATTCATAAGGAATGCAATCAATGAGCAAGCTCTTCAAGAACAAAATTTTCAAAAATTTTGGAGCATTTTATGTCCTTTTCTTTGGTTCTCTTTAGACTTTTCAATTTCATGGTGTTGCTTTTCTTTATGGATTGTAAAGATACTTTTTGAAGTATCTAATTTACTTGATTTCTCTTTTTATGTATAATCCCAAAATTTCACATAACATATATGTCATTATATAATTTATTGAGAAACATATATTATTTATTAAGTACTATTATTTTATCATCAGTTAAAATCATTTTTATCAAGTTATATAAATTATTATTTTAACTACCTTATGTTAAATTACTGCACTCTATAATTATATTAACTTTTGTTAATATTTTTAACATCTCATTATTTGAGGTATAACATTCTTTCATCGGGTATATAAATTACTTTAGAAAAAAAATCTTTCGTTACTATACTAGATTGTTCTCCTAATTTTAATGAATATAGAGACAAAATATAAAGTCATAACTTTTTTTTATCCTTTATCACTTTGTAAATAATGAGATGATTCATTCTAATTTTCATCAAGTAAGTCGTTATTTTTGTTTGTTAAACACCTTTAAAAACAAATTTATAAGTGTATTCAAAATTAATCTATAGGTGAATAGTAGAATTTATTGCTTCATATATTTTATGAAAATTGTTAATATATTGAGAATAATTTTAATCTATTCTCTTGAATAATTTTCAAATAAAATAGAAAAAGAATACCATTAAATTAATTATTTAATTCGAATATATATGTTTGACATGATGTTATAATGAGCACTGGAGCATATGATATTTTATTATTAT